CGCACACCACATAGCACAACACGCAACCCACACAACACAAAACACACAACACACAACGCACAAGACACACTACACAACACACAACACACAACGCACACCACGCAACACACAACGCACAACACACAACACACATCACACACCACACAACACGCAACACTCTACACAATCCACACAATACACAGCACACATCACACACTCCACAACACCCAACACACACCACACACCAGACACACAGCCCACAACACACAACACACAACACACAACGCACAACACACTTCACACGACACACAGCACACAACACACACACCACAGCATACTACACATAACACGCAACACACAACACACAACACAACACGCAACACACATCAAACAATACAGCACACAGCACACAACACACAACACACAATACACACCACACACCACACAACACGTATCACACAACACACAATGAACACTTTACAACACACAGCGCACACCACACAACACACACACACACACTTCACACAACACACAACACACAACACACAACACAGAACACGCAACCCACAGCACACATCACACAACACCCAACACCCAACACACACCACACACCAGACACACAACCCACATCACACAACACACAGCATACAACGCACAACACACTTCACACGACACACAGCACACAACACACAAACCACAGCATGCTACACATAACACACAACACACAACACACAGCACACCACGCACCACACATCAAACAACACAGCACACAACACACAACACACAACACACAAGACACACCACACACCACACAACACTTATCGCACACCACACAATGAACAACTTACACCACACAGCACACACCACACACAACACACAACACACAACACACAACACAGAACACGCAACCCACAGCACACATCACGCAACACACAACACACACATCACACAACACACAATGAACAACCCACAACCCACAGCACACAACACCCACCACACATCGCTCAACACACAGCACACACCCACCACACAACACACAACACACAACACACAACACACAACACGCACAATTCACAGCACACAGCCCGCAGCACACAACATGCACACCACACAACATAGACCACACAACACACAACACACAACACACAACCCACAACGCACAACACAGCACACATTACACATCACACAACACAACACACAACACACAGCATCCAACACACAGCATCCAACACACGACAGACAGCACACACCACACAACACGCAACCCACAACACACAGCACACAACACACACCGCACACGACACAAGACACAGCACACAGCACACAACACACAGCACACAACGCACAGCGCACACTTCACACAACACACAGCACACGACACACGACACACACACACACACAACACACACACACACGACACCCACGCACGTACTGACGCACACACGCTTACACGCACACGCGTACACACATGGTTTGAGGCTCAGGCTGGCCAATGTTTAGCAAGAGACGCTGAGCGTTTGTAATCAAGCTCGACGCGTACAGCTTTACGGCGAAACATGACCGAGTTTCCACGACGCACCTTCGAGATATCTGCGCGCGGAAAACGGAACAGCTGCGAATGCGGATCACGCGCGCGATAGTTTGATGGAAATGGATGCCGCCCAGTCATACGAAGGTTCTGTTAGAGGTCCAAATGCACGTGGTCGAAAATGTGGTATTTGCCGTCGCTCTAGAAGGGCGGCATCGGACGTTTGCACCATCTCAATAGAATGAAGATCTGAAGGGGCGTTCCAAGCATTGAGAGGCAAGGATCCAGCAGGATCTCTGGTATGTTGCATTCTGGACGCAAGTCGGACGCGCAAGAAATCAAGACAGAAGTAACAGCTCAGTAACAAGTGCTGCGCGATTGGGCGTCTTATGGGCATGTTTGCTCAACGATAAGTTCATGCTGTCGAGATGGTGTCTCGGCACGTATGTGGCGCGCCGCGCGAGAAACATCGGTTTTCGCCACTCGCAGTGCCCCTGCGTGCACGCCTTCGCCTTCCGCGGTTCCCTTTGCTTCTTCTCTTTTCCTCCTTGGTCGGGGACCTTCGTTGCTTGTCTGGCTCCTCGGTTTCCTCCTCCCTGTTCTCTGCTTGGTTTCCCGCTCGCCATCTCTCTGCTCGGGGTTTCAAATCCCCCCACGGAGAGATAAGAACTTGGTCAAGAAGGAAGAGGGGGGTTCGTATTACGGTGCTCGGAACCTCGAGGTGGCATTGGGCACCCTCCTCCCGTCATTGGCCCCTTCGCCGTCCCCGGCCAATGGCCAGCGGCGCCACGCCTCTGTTCGCGAGGCAGGAGCGGGAGAGCTCCCTGCAGCGGGGTATTCGTTCGCTGGTGGCTGCAATGGGGAGGGATTGAGGCGGGAGGGCGGCCAGCGAGGCACCCCAGGCAGGCCAGGGCAACGAGTTCTGGGCTTCGCTCACGATGTCAAGCCCTATCGAGGTTTGCTGCTCGGAGTCGACTCTAACATCCCCTCCATTCTTTTTTCCAGCGCCGCGTACATTCGTTTTTAAACATACACATCACACCAGAGAAAACCCAATCAGTGGATTGGATGTTATCCGCAATCGTGCCTCGAAGCACGGTCTAGAGTTGAAGGAATCGTCGCTTCAGGTGATGGCGGGCGGGGATGCGAACCGTACAGGCATTGCACATAGCCGCTACATGCGAAAGGATAAGGAATACACGTTTGTAGCCGTCGACCGCATGCTGATCTTTGCGGAAATGATTGATCACAGAGGTTGCACGGCGACCCGTACATCCTGCAGGCTATCCAAGGCAGAGGGGCAGTTTTGGGCTAACTCCGGAGCTCTATGCGCTCCAGCCCTGGCAACAAAGAAGCTGAATGCATGGCGTCAGGGGCCGCAGACTTTGGCACTACATAGTGTGGACACTCCATCTTCACCTCCACCTCCTCCTCCTCCTCCTCCTCCTCTTCCTCCTCCTCCCCCTGGTCCCCCTCCTCCCCCTCCTCCTCCTCCTCCTCCTCCTCCGCCTCCTCCTCCTCCTCCTCCTCCTCCTCCTCCTCTTCGTCCCCCTCCTCCTCCACGCGCCTCGTCTCCGTCGTCGTCGGCGTCGCGGTCGTGGCGCGCGCTGCTTCGCTCATGTCAGGCATTTGGTCCCACCCTGCAAGCACCACCGCTGCCCCATCTTCTCGCGGGGCAGGAGCAGTTCGTTGTTTTGTTCACTCGCTGTTTTGTTCTAGAAAGGCCCGCGCGACGCCGGCCGGCGTTTTCGCTCAAACTTCGTCTTTAAGCGAGAACGAAGCGTGAACAGAAAACACGGTTCAAGTTGTGCCCTGCAACCCTACCCAAGCTTTTTGGCATCGCTCGGACGTGTGCATGTTTCCTTCGGCTAGGACCATCGAGGAGCATCCTTGATCATTCGGCGAAACAACCACGCACGAAACCGAAAAAAACACAGGGAATAGACGTCCGAGCGATGGCGAGGCAAAGCCTCGAGCACTCTCTCTCTCGGAGGAGGGCCAGCTGAGACGACGGCGGCGCTCCCGCCCAGCCCGATGTCGATCAAGCTCGATGCCCGGACTTGTTCTCGGAGGCGGGTCCAGCCGTGGCGACGAGAAGCCTCCAGGATGCCCAAGTTGAGGGACCCACAAGCCCGGTAAGGAAAGTAAGTCAGATAGGAAACGGGAACATATACATTACCAGTGGCGGGTTGTTTTTTCAATCCCACGACTTTTGAGGGTCGGGGACGACGTCGGGGTGGTGTGGTGTATACTTTTCCCCCGTTTTCCAAGGGAACCAACGAAAAATGTATACACCAGGGTCCCGTATACACCAAGATCCGCTCTCCAGTGCAAATTTCAATGCAGGGCCAGAAAAAGCGTCGGTGTATAGAGCTCCATTTCCTTAAATCCACTGATGTGAGACATTTGGTGACGCCTCTTTGGAGGAGGTCTCAGACGAGAGCCAAGCTCTTGAAGCTACATCGAATTCGGGAGACCTCTGAATTTCTTATCCACGCCAAGTTCGATGTCCAACGCCCGAGCTCAACATTCCAATTTTCGGAGGATCTCTCATGCGAACGCCTCATTGTTTGAAACCAGCGTCGTAAGACAACTTCTCCAACAACATCCCCATTGTTTGAGAGACTCTCAGGCGAGACGTCCCCTAACACCATGTTGGTCATCAGACACCCGATCTCCAACATCTCAATTGTCTGAGGATGTCCAAGGCGAAAGTTCCACACACGAGAACCAACGTCGCTCCAACAACTCCTCCAGCATCCCCATGTTGTGAGGATGTCTTAGGCGAGTCGCCCCTACACACCATGTTAGACGTTTGTCGCCCGATCTCTAACATTTCAGTTGTCTGAGGATGTCCCAGGCGACAGCTCCATTTTTGAAGACCAGCGTCGCTCCAAGCAACTCCGCCAACATCCCCAATGTGTGAGGATGTCTCAGGGGAGACGCCGCTGGCGACACCATGTTGGATATCCGACGGCCGATCTCCATCATGTCAATGTTCTAAGGATGTCGCACTATAAATCACACTATGGAGAACCAACGTCGATCGCAACATCCCCATGTCGTGAGGATGTCTCAGGCGAAATTTCTCCTCACCCTGCTCATCACTCCTCCTGTTTAGGGTCAAAGGCCGAAACCATGGGCCCAAGCCCTTACCAGGAACATGGCAAAATGCGCCAGGGGGAACCTCCGTTGTCTCGATTGGCTCCGCTCCGATCCTCCTCTTTGGTCTGTGTAGGGCTTCACTCTAGGCCTCCCAGATGGGATGGGAGTAGATGGTGTCGGAAGATCATGCCGCATCGCCGATGCATCACCGTTACCGATCGATGTGGGGCCCATGTTTCTCCGAGCCGACGTCGGCGACGCGGCGCGATCCTCCGACCCCATCTACTCGGACCATATCGAGGAGGCCTCCAGTAGGGCTTCCCTCCTCCTCCTCCTCCTCCTCCTCCTCCTCCTCCTCCTCGTGGCTTCCCTCCTCTGTCACTGCCAGGTGTTCTGCCGCGCCTGCGGGACGGTCTGCCCGCTGCTGTGCAAGGCGGGCCGGCGGGCCTCGCACGTGGATGCGGCGCTGGGAGGAGGAGGAGGAGGAGGAGGAGGAGGAGGAGGAGGAGGAGGAGGAGGAGGAAGAGGAGGCGGAGGCGGAGGCGGAGGCGGCGGCGGCGGAAGCGGAGGCGGAGTCGGAGGCGGAGGCGGAAGAGGAGGCGGATGCCGAGGCCGAGGCGGAGGAGGAGGCGGAGG